GTAAAACAAAGTTTTTTTCCATAGCCTAATTATGGACGCCTGTGGTATCAAAAATATTTAGAAATTATTTGAGTCAGACACTTTTGCATAAGTAGAAATTCGTAAGACAAACTTTGACAAATAAATAAAAAACAAAATGTGTATATATTTTTGACAAAATAAACGTCTTTATCTATCCTTGCTGTTAAAGTATCATTTAATCTACCCTTGCTGTTAAAGTACCAGTTTTGGCCGTTTGCACCGACAATTTTAAGGAGAGCTTAACGATAAGTATTCCTTAAAGTGACATTTTTACATGTAGAAATGTCATTTTAAGTTATACTTATCGTTAAGCCTCCCTCAAAATTGTCGGTGCAAATGGCCATTTATCTACTATTTTTAGTAGATAGGCTACTTTACAAGTAGCTACGGAAAAAAATAATTTAAATTAAATGCGTAATATTGATTTGAGATAGTGTTATGTCAGAGTTTAGATCGTAAAGAATTAATTATCATGTTTAATGTTTTGTAATAATATTCACTCTGGCTGAGATTATGATTTTGATTAAAGCTTTGTACAAATTTGGCAGTACGCGAATCCAGGGGTTTTTATACGCTTATAGAATTCGACGTTTTAATAATTGTAATGTTTTGACGAGAAAAGTTTATTTTAGAATTATTTTAGAATTGATTTTTTTTTGTATTAGAAAGGTGTTGGTAAGGGTATAGAGTTGTACCATTGTTATTTGGAAAAGCTGTGTTTATGTTCTCGAATGAAGTATATTTATTAATGGAAAACCGTATTACAGTTGTTTCTCTTACTTGCCAATAGATCCGCCCCCACAATTTTGTTTTACAGTAGCTGCCCAAGGAAATAATTACCATCAAATACGACCGCTCGCAATTTACCATCTAACCTAAATAATAGAGTACTTGGCGCGGATGCTACACTTGAATCATTTTTCGAGAATAGGGAAGCCGGGGATAGATCAACGAAATGTATGTAACATCAGAAAAATCCGGCAAGCGAAGTAAGAAAAACCAAGATTACGTCTGATGCTGATCCAGAAGTTCAAAGTTATCCTTTGAACGGCCGGTCTTCAAATTTCCATGAAGTGGAGTGCTACGAGTGCACGAAAACGCTGGAAAGACAGTTGGCAGAATCGCAATCAACAGGGAATAGGACCAGGTAGCCATTCGTCTAGTATCCATGAAGTCATTCCAAGAGAAGAAGTAAATCTGGAAGGTCAGAAAAGCCGAGTGGTAGACGGTGCGTTCAGTTGCAGTCCACTTAGACATCAGGCATAGAGATGTTAGGCAAGAGAATAGATTAAATTATTATGGATTTATGTGGAAATATCGACGTAGAAGAGATGGTGCGTCTTGGTAGAGTCAGATCCGGACAGACAGTATTACGAAATTTCAAGTAGGACGCCGGGTTTTTCTAGATAAATCCCGAATAGACTGTCTGCTATAAATAGTGCATAGTTGTATTAAGTGGAACTCTGTCTAGTCCAGAGCTTTTGTTGAAGTTTGTTTAATAAGAGTGTTCTTGTATTAAGTTAGTTTTAATTCGATATGTAGTAGACTGTCACCTAAAGGCCAATGAATATTCCTTTTTTGAGGCTTATAATTTTGAACTGAAGTAGGTAGGTACCTATTCTATTGTAATGACTCGGAAAAAATAGACCCGTAATTTACAATGTCTTAACAGTAAAAATTAAATGTTATCAAATAATCAAAAATTGAATCTCCAATATTTCAAATCAGTATCAATAAATTGAAAATGAAACAAATTGACATTGACCCAAATTAATTAAAATATCTAACATACGTCCAAAATTTTATTAGTTAGTCACCAAGCGTGTGTCATCACATAAATCAAATCCATCAAAATATTAAAATCAAGGTAAAAGTAAATGAATTGGTGATTTACGGCCGACACGAGTATTCGGCATCCTTTGAGTTATTCGTCCTCACATTCTTACAATAAATTTGTTGACCCCGATAATCCAGGAAATTGCGACATAATTATTCGGTTTTAAACAAATTATTATATTTCTTAGAAAAAAGAATGTTGAGTGTTCCGCCAGTTGAGTCTCCAGTTCAGTCTTAAGTTTAGGTCCACAGTACCTAATGAGTCAGTGCGGATAAAATTCGCGAAGAGTTTCTTTTATTTTGTTGCCTCGGGAAAGCGCGTTAAATTGAATTTTTGAAAAGATAACGGAAAATTGTGAAAAAAAGAACAGTTTAATTCGTTCAACATTATATGCAAGCTCTAAATAATCAAAATAATTAATTTAAATTAGTTTAGTGTTTTAAGGACGGAATGTTAGTAGGTACTCTAGTGACATGTTTATTTGACTTTATCAATGTTGAAATGACTATGAAGTGAATTGACTAAGATACTTTATTACATAAATAATATTATTATCTTGAGTGAATTGACTGAATATTTTGTGCTTAGTATAGAGAGAGAAATTTAATGCAAATGACTGTTAATTGAAATGAATTTTACTGAAGAGTATGGATAATCGATTTGACTGTTACTGTTGCGCCTAGAAAATGATTAGTTAGATATTTTGGTTTCTAGTTAAATGAATTAGGATAAAATGTTCATTGTTTTGATAGTATTTACTCTAGCTAAGTACACGATTTTTGAGTATATTGTACAAAATTTGGCAGTAAGCAATTTCAGGGATTTTATACGTTTAAAAAACAGGAAGTTATAACAATTAAACTAAATTATGAATTATTGTTTTGAGGTGAAAAGGGTGTTTAGGATTTAAAAATATTGTACCTAAGGTAGTAGGGCTATATGAAAGGGTTATTAAAGCACAAGGTTTTTTCATTGCATAATTTGATTAGCAAGCTTAGAGACAGTGTAGTCGCTGTACGATTGCATCAATTTAGAATTGTTTATTTTTGTTCAGAAAGGTGTTGGATTAGGGTTTAGAAAATTTGTACCATTGTTATAGGAAATGAAAATCTGTTTATTTTCTTATTAATGAAGTATAATTATTAACGTATAACCATATAAAATCAGTTGTTTCTTTCAACTGCAAATAGACCCGCCACCATAATTTTATTTTTCAGTAGCTGTCCAAGGAGATAATTAATCAAATACGACCCCTCGCAATTTACCATCTAACCTAAATAATAGAGTATGTACTTGGTGCGCATGCTATATATCTACTATATAGCGCATGTAATTTTTTTTTTCTTTGGACTCAATACTTGCAAGATTCAATGGACCTTAAGAACACTGAAGACTGGAAACTTCAAATACGACTACCATTTTGTTTCCCATTAAAAATCGGAAAAAAACTTGTCGTTTGTTGAATCAATGTCGAGAATTAGCAGAAATGGAAATCAACAACAAATTCCTTTACGTTTTTAATAGATTTTGATAAATGATAACAACGGTACGTCCCCAGTAACAAAATCAATCTCTAATACTTAAAACTACTGTCCTTTTTGCTATATAAATTCCTAGGGCTAGTGAATTCTAAAATTGCTCTTGCTGTACAAATTGACCTTTACCTACTTTTCCTTTTTGGCATGTTATATTCAGACACCCTGCCCTTTTCCAAATGTGATTGCGATGCTAAATTGATGAAAAGAAATTGAGTCCATGAAAATTAACGATTTTTCTATTTACTAATTAAAAAAATGTTAGTTTTTATCAAAGGTGATCACCCTCTCTGTATCACTTCTATTTTCTATTTTCACCCACACCCGATCCTCATTAATATAAGTGGCTGTTTTCGTGCAATTATATGACCTCTGATAAGGCTCGAAAAAAAAAACCGGCGAATCCCCAGGGAGACCGTGACCGGGGTGTTTAGAAAATTAACCCCTAATAATTATTCGCTGGTAAACTCGGGCCCCAATTTTCCAAGGGACCTTCCATTCCAACGGAAAATCGACCTTGGACTGTATGTTAATGGTTTCCTGTTTATGGCCCAAATTTGACAATGGAAATATTTCATTGTTTGCATCTGGTTATATACTTACCTTCACCTATTCTGAAACTTACCACAAAGACGACTTCTTTAATGCATGGGTGTATTGTTGATTTACTTTTTGATACAACCATGTTGTTAATTTTCTAAAAATAAACACCATTGTAATTTAAAAATACTAGTGAATGTTTAAATATTACTGCGTATTGAACTGTTATTCAACAGGCATTTCTTCCATAAAAAGTGATGGAATGAAGCTATTCGGTATGAACTGCGTATACGAATGGACATATTTAAATAAAGCAGCTCAAAGAAATATTCCAAACAGCTTATTATTTTTTCCCTACCCTCTAAAACTTATCATCTGGATGTTATTCTACTTACTAGCCAATATTTGAAAAAAAAATGAACAATAATTGAAACACTGTGGCAAGTCCCTTTTCTATGAGATTTTGCATACTTCTTCAGGCTTTTTTTCCAGTTTTTCCCTTGAGCCCTTCACTAATTTTTTTTTCCAGCTCTTCAGCTTTTCTCCCAGACCTTTTTGCAAAAAGTGTTCATGAGATAATTGAAAAAAAAAAAAAAAAAACTTGGAAAGAAACAAAATTTATACATCCATAACATTTGATGTCATTATTTACCTGAGTAAAGCATATTTAAAATTTAAAAAACTTATAATCCTACATATTTCACGAATTTTACATTTATCTAACAGTCAGATGAAGTTATTGAAAACATTCTCAAAATTCCTATAAAATATAAAATTACTACTCAAACAATTCATTCATACATAGTATTTGAATAAAACATTTCCAATTAAGAAAAAAAAAATCACACTTACATTTACGTGTTATCACTCTACAACTGTCTGAGCTGTGAACTCTATAGAGCCGAAAACACTCTGTCGCTCATTAAATGAACTTGAGAGTGGAAAATAGCGTGTTATTGAGAAGGCGAATTGGCCTCCAGTGCTCGCGCAAATTCAAATAGAGGGTTGTTTTGGTATTTAGCACAAGCGTCTGGAGACTCCATGCATATTCTATGTCGTTGCTCTATTTATAGCATCTTAATTTTTTCCAATTTTTTACAAAATATTCTAAAGATAACTAGCTTTAATAAGTAAATACTTAAAATTATAGGCACATAGACATCTAATAAATAGTATTGGTACCAAGTGAGCTCCAAGGAAACGACCCTTAAATGCGGAGCTCCATTGTGTTTTAATACATATTCGATCCAATATACTGCTGATTTCAAGGGTGGTACTTCACGGTCTCTCAGAAGAAGTGATTTCTTTTCAGCATTTGATTTGTATCTAAAAATTATAAAATTCAGATTTGAAAAAATAATATCACCTCAGCTTACATTGGATTATCAATAACTTCTCTTATCAAATTGAAAAACTTTTCTCCGGTAATGTCTTGCCATTGAAGAATTTTGCCAAACTGTTTCGATTCGGCATAAACAGCATTCATTTTTTGGTCACCAAATATTGGAATTGCTATTATTGGTATTCCATAGTGTACTGTTTCTATTGTACTAGCAAAGCCTCCATGAGTTATAAAAAGTTTTAAATTGGGATGAGCTAAAAAAATTATTCAATAAAATACTTATTGATTTTTTTTTTGATGCCACCTAATATGTCTTGTTGTGGAAACCACGATTGCACTTTAACATTTTTCGGCAAATTTTTACTAAAACTATCATCCTCAAATTTCCACAAAATGCTTTCCTTTAAATTGGAAAACGCCTCTACAATGGCAAGTTTCTTTTCCATAGGTAAATGACTGCTATTTACGTTTGATCCTAAGCTGAAATAAATTACACCATTTTCAGCTGAATCTAAGTAGTCTTGTAGATTTTTTGGAAGCTTTTTTGGTGGCTTCACATGATAGCCTCCTAAAATATTAAATTAACTAAAATCATATTAAACAATGTCAATGCTTACCAATCTGTCTCATACATGGTACAGTTGAAGCAGGATATCCAATACTTTCATGTGTATTCAAGAGTACCAAAGATACATTAAACAAAGCATCATTTAAGTCAATAGGATTAGGTACGTACTTTTTCAATAAGTTATTTTGTTCGGGATAAAATACTACTATTTGATTTATGTTGTACAAAGCATTAAAGAAAGCATTTTTCATTCGTTGCACATAAGTCATTTTTGCTGGATAGCTGAGAATCATTTCAGGAGTGTACGAGGGCAATGAAGGGTTTCCCACTAAATGGTTCACCTATTTACAACAAAATTAAAGCGAATTTTGGTTATCTTTAGGTTACATACCCAAGTACTGGTACCAACAGAACTGAAAAGTATCAAGTGGCCGCCGAAATGATGGGCCATGGCTTTTAGGGCGTCATTCATGAACTGACCAACTATTACAGCGTCGAATTTTTCTGTTGAATGAATTAGCTGCTGAAAACTTTCGTGTTTTAGCGTGTTTTCGGTTTGTTTCAGGCCGATTTTGTTCATCACGTAGATGGCCACTAGAGGGTTGATGCTTGATTTTTCGAAGAGGTTGATGGCTTTTCGTCTTTCTGAAAATTGATGAAATTGAACATTTCTGAAGCAGTAACTGTAACTGTATAGATAACGACTAAAACTATCGATGTGTAACTTTTCTCAAGATTGAATAGATATCAAGCGAAGAACTTGAAATAATCATAAAATACATAAATTACTATACTATTTGTTGGTTTTTGATGAAATTGTTTTCTGCTTTCTGGAATTCTTATTAATTTTTGATTTATTATCAATATAAATAATTTCAAAAGGTACAGGGTCATATAGTCAATAGCCAATTTGTCCAAGAAATTGGTAGTTTAGGCGAGAAAAAATCCCGGGCTTAGGTTTTATGACTGATATCTTTTGGTAGGTGAAGAAGGAAGTTATTGGGAAAATTAGCAACACTTAATATATAAAAAAAGATTGCATTGTATTTGAATCATTTGCTAGATGATCGTAGGAACGTATACCGTGCGACTATTTATCAGAACATCTATATTTAACAGAATGTGAGAATGTAGTTGTATTTTCCAGCTGATGAGCCTGAGTCAAAGGTCCTGCTGGTTCTGGTGAATAATAATTCGTGGATGTAATGGTAAGCGTTTCAACATCATCTGAAACAAAAATGATGCTCAGGTGAAATGATTGCGAAGAAGAGGGAATACTGTTTAAAACTGTTAATCAAGTGAGAGAATGTGTAGAAGAATATCTGCGTTTACTAGGCCTCTCTTGGAGCTGCTGGGCGTTGGTGGAGGGTCCTGGTTCTGGTGAGCATGGTTACAAAAAGAAGGAGCACTAAGAAGAACTAATCACATAACTTCATACTTTCATGTTTTTTTACCTTCATTGTTCTTGGTATCAGGAGTGATCTCAACTTCGTCAGTCTCTAGCCCCTCCTGCTCTGCCTCTTCCAGCAAATCAACACGAACTGCATTGTTGCATCTTCATTCACAGAATCTGCAGATGCTGGTACAGAAAAGCCCTACACGTCTGCAGCCACAATTCCGTGTGCAATTTTTTTTTGCATCCACACGATTTTTTGTCCAGTAGCTCTGGCGGTGCTGGTGGAGATTCGTCAAAATTCGGTGGGTTCACATGGATTTCCCAGCCATACTTGCACTTGGTGATACGTACGAAATATAATATGGTGCTGTGCTGCTGCACTCGTTGGAGGGAGCATTGCCATGTTACAGTTACTTTTGTACGCTGTTGTAACATACTGTCTGTGTCTCAATCTATCAAATAGTGGTGCTGTAGGGAAAGGATCCACATAAAGATATGATAAAGTTTTCACCCGCATCAATCAGTTCATTCTTGTCGGCATCGGGATCATAGAAAGCCTTCATCTTCTTTAGGAGCTTAGGATCCTTTAGCAAGGATTTCAAACTTTTCATTTTCTCCTTATTTTAAAACGAAGAGGTGGAATCGCACCCACTGATGGCGTGAAAAGGCAATATAAAACCTGCAAATTCCCCATCTACGATAATGAATGGATGGTACAAGGTGGATGGCCTCGCTCCTGTTCCAGGTTTAATAAAGTATACGTAGATCAACATCTTTGCCAACCACTGTCACAGTTTTGCTTTGCGAATTCAAGGACTGAGCAGTGTCTACAATCAGGATGTCAGCGCATCTTCCACTGCCTGGTAGGTTGTAATGTTGGCTTGGGCGAACTTATTCCTGAGGTATGATATAAATCGTTCTTTATTTTTGGAGTTGCTGAGAAAACTCTCTTGTGAACACCTGGGAGATTTGTCGTCATGGACAATGACTTCGACTGAATGCTTTTTAACAGATCTTCGCATCCGCTCCACGTACTTCGTATACTAAGATGATCATCATCTATCTAGCCATCGAACATTACCATAATGAATGTAGCTGCGACTGATATCATGGAAGGAACTTGAGTTTGATGGCCATACAAGTTGATGTAACAAGAATCTACCATCTATCACATTCAGTGTTTCATGATCCAACGTAGATATGTTCGCCATCGGTAGGAAAGCCTTGTACAAGACCAATTTGGTTCCCTCTCATGCCTATAACATCAAATAGATCCAAAGGGTATGGACAGAGATTTCGTATGTTAAGAATTTTTGCAACTCGTCCTCAGACTGCTTGGCAACACTGATTCTTTGGAAGACAGTCAAAGGTTTTATGAGAACAGCAGCTGGATTACAATTTTACTAGTCGTCACGAGTCGAGCGTCTCGTATAGGCAATATCAACGTTATTTCCGAGTCGCATCCTTCGAACTCGAGCAATTAGAATTCCTATCCTGGCCGGTCATCAATTACAGGTGCAGTACTGACAACTGATATAGGTAACACTCGATCACTTCTCTTGTACTTGACAGCCTCAAATTTTTTGTCCCGTTCATCCTTTGTCTTATCGTTCTCCATTCTTTAGACGCCATGTTCTTGAGCCATGTAGCAAGTAATTGTTTTGGGATCTCCGATAACCCCTGTACCGATGGATATTATAGAGAGCAAGAAAGGTGGATGATTGCGAAACCACTCTAACATCTTCATGTATCGTCTCGTCTGAATCTGCTGTCCCTGCTGTTAAAATTGCTCCGTCGTATATGCCACAGAAGGTTTCGATCACACCGCACACTTCTTGGCAAGCTGCCATTTCTTGTGTCCACCTGGATAATATGGCATCGCTGACTCCTCGGCCCCGAGTCAGTCCTCCGTCTGTCTTCATCTGCTTCATCAGAAACTGTTCGATTGTCATGTCACTCCACATGCCGCACCACAAATGGTCTCCTCCTCTGATGGTGAAGCCACCTTTCGACGTGAAAAATGCAAATTCATCTGGTGGCATCATTTTCTACAGCCCTTGCATGTCTTTCAGATATAAGTGTGCACATTTGGCATACAAGAAATGGAGAGTCACGTGAAAGTACGGGGTCATGTTGCAGATTGTTTCTAGTTGTAAATGCCAGTCTCCCAATCTTCCTGACCGAATGAATCTCATCATCATAAGTGTCACCACTGATTCCGCAATTTGGCCGTTGGCCCAAGACTACCCAAACGGTTCATCTCATCCTCGAATTTTTGTGCCACTTCTAGTACACTCCAGATTGGTATTCAGGAGTTGCCTAGGGTTAATTTCATACAGTAGCCACTCTAATTTTTCTCAAGTTTCGAACGAAAAGGTGATATCCTCCATTATGAGCTGAGACAGGACAGTGTGTGACATAATATGAGCACGAACTTTATATGGTGTCATAATCGCTGGGAGCGGCAATAATAAATGGTAGACAGGAAACGCGTGTTGTTTCGTATGAAAGGGATTTTTTAACCTCTTGCATAAATCCATTCCATCCTCGAACCACAGGGCTTCTTATATTTACAGAATAGCCAAAACAAATTAGTTGTAGGAATAATTGACTTGGAGTATGTGACATTTCAGTGAGTTTTTCAATAGTGACTGCTGTTAATCCTACATCGTTTAAACGTTCAAAATGTTCTAAGCTGACTGCGCCTACCCTTGCAACCTCTTCTGCTTTAGGAATTCGTGCAATGCGACCTATCTCCTGACTACGAGCCACTGCTGATTTAGGCGTCACACACACGATCCCTCCCATTGAATGAAACATGTTTTGTCCATCTAACATTTGTACGTTAAAGTCTGCATTGTCGAATACTATTTGGGAAAGGGCTTGCTTATTTAGCACCATCAGAGGCTGCATTATGGCTGATATTTCGAATTTTTTTGCTTTATTGTACGACGCACAGAAGCCCAATGTTGACAGCACATCGATCAAAATCCGCGAGCCATACTTCTTGTATATAATTATAGTCGAACCGACCTGTTGTAACGTGCCAAAATTGCCTTTAACTATTTCATATTTATTTTCAGTTTTCCATTCAAAATTCCTATAGATATTTGATTTTTCCCTGATTTTATCAGGCTTCGTTTACATTCTTCCTTTATAAAAATTCAAGAATAATTACAGTAGGTAATTGCAGATCTGGTAAATTTTTTAATCTTTATTATCTAAATTCTATTTTTACTTTGTGACTGAATTTTACCGATTTATTTTTGAAATTTGTCGATACCTTGCCTCATCTCTACTCTTTACCTTTAGGACAGCTAATTAATTTTATGTGGTGCTTCTTTCTTTCTCGTTTGGTAGTTCCGAGAAATAATGAGGTCTTTCTGAAGAACTTTTGAATTTTGTCTTCGACTTTGAGGGAATATCGACCTATTACTCTCAATTATTGAATTTATGGTACATTGAGTTGCCTTACGTTGCGTTACGTTTTCGTAAAGTACCATAAATTCGCCGATAATTTCGGATTTTCACAACCATCCATTCGATAAGTTTTGCTGCCCTAAAGAGTAGAGTAAAGACCACCTCACTCACTTCAGGATTTCGAATCCAGACCTCGATCCAGACTAATCCAGAGTATTTTCGAGGCCAATAAAACCCATTCCAACAGGTGAGACATAACCATAACGACATATTTTCTTTGCAAATTTGAACCACATTTTCTTTTCTTTCAAATATATCTAGTTCAGCTTTTATACATAAACTAGCTGACCCGGCGAACTTCGTACCTCCTCTGAATTATTAAATACCTATTAAATGTTGTGTTAACGTATCTATTAACTGAATTAAATTCAGTTTTTTTCGATGGTCAATTTGGCTTTGGTCGCTTTCTTTAAATTGTTTTTGTGCAAAGTGTGTGACAATAAAATCCACATGGTTTGCAATGAAAATGTGACGGTAAACTTGGTATCAGTTATAAGAGATGGCGCCGTATGCGGGCTTAGTGAGTTTTTTTCATAAATAAGTAAAATAGAAAACTTTTTTTTTTTTGTTTTTTTTTTTGGATTTCTTCGATTTATTATCCTAGGATGGACAAAGACAAATCCAATAAAGGAAAAATCATAAAAATCAGTACAGCCGTTCTCGAGTTATAAGTGCTCAAATACCAACACAACTGTGTTTTATATATATAGATTATTTAAATATTTTTCAAGAGCTATAGTTTCACCTAGTGAATTAAAGCTCAAAAGTCAATCCTTCTACTTTATGTCAACTTATATTGTTTTCATGGCAAGGCAAAATTTTCAAAAATCAAAAATTAAAAGAAAATCAAAAAATAATAGGAAAAACACGAAAAAGTCAGTACGAAAAGACATCTAAGAATATTGGAAATAGCTATTTACCTAACAAGTGCGGAAAATGAGTTTTTCCGCACGCGGTGAAGCAGCCAACAATAAAGTTACATTCATTTTCTTGTGGTTCATTTCAAAGTGCCTGGCCTTCGCTAAGGGTAAGTTACAAATACAGAGTGCTATACCTAACAGTTTTTCTCTAGGGTTTTCACTTACGGCCATAAGTTCAAGTACACGGCCAGTCTTTTTTAACTAAAGGCTACACATTTAAGTGTAAGGCAGTTGTAAGGCTACTTACCTCTACCAGAGCCTACACCTTTTTGTTTGGACGCGTATACCGTTGTTTTGGTACTGTTGAACCTTACGACTGGTTTGACCATACCGGCTACAGCCAGTAACCGGGACCAACCAGGTTGATTGAACCTTCTGCCATCACTTGGAAGATATTAGTATCGTACTAGCTTTAGTTTAAGAACACATTCTTGTCATTTCAACTTTAATTTTATACATTTTGCCCCTATTTTGTGCGCCAAAGTGATCACCGCGGTACGTAAGGGTGTAATTCAGTAGGTACTTGTACCAAGTGACGAGTAAAACAACTAAAAGGTACATTAATTTCAGCTACGCGAAACCTGTTTTATGTGGAGGATTAATATTACCTATTTAGCTTTGGTCACATCATTGTATTGAGGTTTGTGACTGATAACTGTTCCAATAATCATTTTATTCTTTTTATTTCTATATTCTGGTCTTCAACTTTCGGTTTACTCATTTGAGTTACCATAACATTTTGTATTTTAAACTTCCAAATTTAAATTTAATTTGGATTATTAATTGTGAACTACAATAATTGCTTTAAGAACATGTTTTCTTCAATTTTCTTTTTATTAAACGAACTCTATAGCACTTGAATTAATTGGGTTTTATTCGGTTTTATGCACTCAACTTATTATTATTATTAGTTTTTTTTTATTATTCGATCAAGTTGTAAGGACCTGGAGCCAGATAAAATCCTGGAGAATCCGACTCATCTGTCCTGAGTCGGTGGCGCCCAAAACATAACTCAACCTGGGCCGGTATTTTTAAAGCAAACAACGTAGGGGGTACTTGATACAAATATGCCATTTCCATATTTTTCAATCAGTCGGATTCTTATGGTCTTGGGATGTGGTATGGTATCGCTTTCAACTTTGCTGATGAGCTCGTCTATGGAAAATTGACACTCTTCATCATTGTTTTCAAAAAATGTGTAAATTGATGTCAATACATCATCAACATCGCTACGAGGTCTGCCAGCTGGTTGTGATGTTCAATTCAAGGTATTCAAGTGGTAGACTTTCTTCGAGCACGATCTTTTGCGTTAGCTGCAGGTAAGTCACACACAAGTAGAATCCGTCTGCGTATGTTGTTATCAAACCCAGTGTCATAGCGGCTCAAACAATCCAAAATTTTATCCATCATTTCCAAAGACGTCACAACATTAACTGGATCTCTATGTTTTATTTTTGCTCTCGACTGTTACCTGGCATAACTTTCCACACAGAAATTAAATACTTCTACATCCGAGCGGGTTGCGACGCGACCTCCTCCTAGTTGGACCATCTTCAAATGGGCGTCTATGCTTCGATCAGTCGCATAATGTTTGCGACATTTTTCATGAACTTCTAGGAAAATCCTTCTCTTGAAAATTTCAGCCATACCATCCTTTCTTCTTCTACTTGCCAACACAAATGATGCCAACTGCTTTTTCTTCACAACACTCGTTGCAGAACCGTCCTTCAAAGTCTCATCACGCAAAAAACACTCGCGATCGGACATTTTAGATTTTTTCAAAAACACAGGGAAAGTCAAAAACTTGCCCCTGTTCAGTCCACGTTGGATGACTCTATGTACATTATCTCAGTTGAAGTACTTTTTGCAGTACCTATCTCACGTTTCACCTTTTTATCAGATACCTACTAGAAATTATAATCGAATAAATAAGATTGTTCCACGGAATTTTGCAATGATTAGGCACCTATTTTATCAATGGATTTGGAGTACGTATAGGTACTTATCGACCTAAAAATAACCTCACCTGTTTGTTCTTCCAAAAACCCCGTTAAAATTATTTGCCTATAGCTGCCGTTACCATTAAATTGGTATTCTTCATAGAACGGACTTACGATGGTAACATCATGACCGGCATCTACCAAGGCCTTCATCAGGGTACTTTCCAAAATATAATGACTTTTTCCAGGTGTTGGAAATATGCCCAAGATTTTTGCCGCACGACAGTGATGATGGCATAAACTATAATAAACAATTTATAATAATTGAAACAAAAATTCATTTTGTAAAATATGCAAAAACATTGAATCTAAAAATAAGAAATAGTTAAATCAAACAATCAAAACGCACATAAATAAGGCTCCAAGGTGACTTGGCTTTAATTACGCATTATTTTTATCAAAAGGAAAATTTATTACCTTAAAAAATAGAAAATTATAATCAAAACACTGCGGCATTGCACCATTACATTCTTTCCTGATAACATTATAACCAAAACTGGATACTCGAAAGTTTGCATACACAGCAAATTATTGATATCTAGAAAAACTCATTTTTATCTTGGCGCCTTTCGTTATGATGTATTACGAACAATGCGAATTGGTTAGTTTCAAACAATTACATCTGAATACTTATTATATACAGTAGGTACGACCGCAAGTGAATTTTAATTTCTGATTTGTTTTCGTCTGTGTGGGTTGGGTTTGCATAAAAATAACTGAGAATGTGTGCCTAAACACAAAAAATCCTTTGTAAAAATAGTTTGGATACAAAAATGGAACATTGTAGTACTATTATAATTTGTACAATTTCGTACTGTACTGATCTTTTCTCAATTACAAATTTAATCGAAGAAATTATACTAAAACCATCCTTGTCTCAAGCCCGCAGAGGTGAACTAACCAATAAAACGGTAAATATTTGCGACCTGCGACTCGGATAAGTACGGTACTTTGTTAATCAATTACATTGTCCAAGAACGTGATCAAAGAAACACTTGTACCCGAAAGATGATAAGTGGCGGCCAATAAATCGATTGAAAAGTTGTATGGACATATAAATCACTAATTAGGTCGCAAATGGTCTAATCAAAAGACAATCGAAAGGCGGACACCAGACATCAGTCTGAAATGTTGTAGATAAAAGTAGATAATGAATCATCAAATTAAGCTAAAGTAAACAAGACCAAAAGTAGTTCTATGAACTGACTTTGTAAAATAAAGTCTGTAAGTAAATGAATAGGCAGTCCTCAGTACTATTATTAATTTTTATCTTTCGTTTCTTTTATTAATTTGAAGTTTTACTTTGTTCGTTGGGGTTTTGTTGTTGCCATATTTGTATTCCACATAATCATTGGTTTATTTTGTCTTGCTTTTCCTTAAAGCTTCATTGGTTCGTGAAATGCGCCTTCTTGATATGAAGTCTGAGAAATAATATAATATCTACATACCTGGAATTAGGTTTATATCTTCTTATTTTTAATTAAATATTGATTGAAATGATTATTTAGGATATTTGCATGGTAGGTACTAGATTGTAGATTGCATTTGAAGTCGTTACAACTTGTTCCAGCAGCTCGAGCAGTGCTATCTTTCCAGATATTTCGTGCGTGACTCTTGAGGAAAACCACCTATTTAAAATATTATTTCTTTGAATCTCAATTAAAAAAAAAAAGTCTACTTTAGACAAAAAAGTAAATGTTGCAACCATGTATGCGCCGTCAAGATTAGGGTTGAACGGAGGGCGCGCCACAGAATATGAAAGTACCGAAACCGAAGAGGATAGAAGAGAAAGGAATAAGCGACTAGACTAGAGAGGAAGAAGCGATCGAGGCTCTGGCCTGCCAATGTTCATTATTCAATTTTTATTTTTTCGTTTTTATGTATTTTTTTGTTTGTTCATAACATTTTTTATAGCATGTGCATTGTTCATGTATTTAACAAAAATCGTTTCATGCTGAAAACAACACAGATAAAGAGTAAATTAATTAAAACCTAGAGAAATTATGTGCTGTTTTTTTTTGTGCTGGGATTTTGATTTTGGGCATTCAGAACGTGCATTAGGGCCTTGTTGTATTTACTAACATTTTCCTACCCTGAAGAGCGAATATCCTAGAAAACAAATTGAAAAATCAATTAGAGATATTCGCTCAAAAACAACTATAAATAGCTGAGTAGCTCGTATGGGACCTCAGTACATGCTGGTGAGACTGGATAAATAAATAAAAACTCTTTAGTATTGAATATAGGTAGTGTTGATTGAATGTAGTATGTGTGGAATTAAAATTTTAGCACAAGAACAGGGACGGTACCTAATTTAAACTTTTATTGACTTAAATTATTGAATAAATGACTCACAATTATCATAAAAATGACACAGTATGTTTTGATTTTTGAGGAATGTTCGATCGAGGGTTTCTCTACCGTTCTCTTTCCCCTCGAGAATTCCTGGTCGAGAACGGTACGATTTACTTCAATAATAAAGTAGACGTTTGACAAATTTTTCGTTTCTTTTACATATCACATCAGCTTCCCTTAAATTTCCCAAGTATTTGCTATGTCGGGCGCACGTCCAGTAAGTAAAATTGAGTAAGTTTCCACAACGTAGGTTATATTTGATTTTCATTTCGTTTTTCATAAGATTTGTTGTTTTAGAAGGTAATAAAAATACACACCGTTCAATCTTACTGAACGAACCCGGGGTTGTTATACTACAGCTTGAAATATTGTGGACGTTTTACCCATTGCTAAGGAGAGTTTAAACTATAGTTTAAAGTTTGGTCCAGTTTTTCCCAGACTGACTCTTTCCGTTTAATCCGTTAGCTTCGATCCATCCGTGTATCAAAGTGATTCGTTGTCCGCTTGTCGTAGTTTTACGTTCTGCCATGATTGGAGTTTTTACACAATCACTTCATACTGAATGTCAAAATCCAGTGCTTGATCTCATATGGTTTGTTGGTTTACTTTCAATCCAATTAAATGGTAATTTTTTGAAAACATCAAAGCGGTAGAAGGTTTTTCAACGGAATTATATGTTTTTTGGGGTGCTGAATACGAATCTGAAGTTTGCTGCCGGGTAGCAGAACCGGCTCACGCCGAAAATCGCAATAAACCCCGAAATTTTCGGACTTTTCCCTGTCTTCTGGTCATATCTTGTAAACGACGCATCGTTCCGAAAATGTCGTGATATTCAAAGTTGAAGAGCATAAAATTCTGCTGCGAATGACCTTCCCAACCTTTTTCCTGTTAAATTTATAGGCTTACCATCGTCAATCGGAAAAAGGCCAATTTTAATGAACTTTTTGAAAACCGCAGTAAACTTACTCTTAGACTCGCTCTTAGACGATAGTGATTTCAAAACAACTACTTTACGTAAAAAATCATTAAATAAAAGTTATACGGTTATACTCAGCCAAATATTGAGTTCAGTGAGCATCAAATTTTTTTTGAATTTTGTACAATACGCATATACTGATAATTTCCATTTTCCCTCTCTAAACGCTTGTTTGACAAAATGAACGGGTCCAATAAAAAAGTCTGTGCCTGTCAATACTTCACAAACTACACTTGTCAACCCTAAATTACTTCCCCCTCCATTTTTCGTAGGCCTGATTTGAGGATTTATAAGTATTATGTATGTAGATGTAACAGGAAGTAATCAGTACCCATTAACAAAAGAAATATATTTACTCATTTGGAAGGTCCAGGCGTAGGGTGTGTATAAAGGGCCCCATATACTACGATGAAATACGACGGTTTTCATCGCCACGATGAAGCACGTCGTTCCAAAACCGAAGTGTGTGGTAGAAAAACACGACGGTTTTCTACCACACACTTCGGTTTTGGAACGACGTGTTTCATCGTGGCGGTGAGAACCGTCGCGTTTCATCGTAGTGTATGGGGCCCTTAATGGACGATGATGGTCCATGCTCAGGCTCAGGCTTTCCAGTGCTCGGAGTGGCAGGGTGTGACGGCTGTTCTTCAACTGAAAGTAATGTGGATGTTGATATGTTACGAAATAACGCATAAATAAAATTTACTTCTGAACTCTCACCTTCCTCTGACAGTGGTAGAGCAAACGGAGGATCGTTTTCTTGCTCATCGGGGTCGGTTGTTTCGTCCACGTTGGTGCAGGCATCGGCACAATAGGCCCCTTGCATCAATTTTTTTATTGCTGATTTCGATAGTCCATGAAAAATAAGTCAACACGTGTTTTTTCTTTTTCTTCTTAGTCAAAAATTGACGGAGATACAACGCTATGAAATATGCCTATGACGTCATCAGGTATAATACTATATGACGTCGCACATGCTCAGTATATCTATATACACAAAACTTAATATTTGTATAACTTCCGAAATAATCATATTTGGGCGAAATGAAAAAAAAGTAACGATTTTTTTTCGATTTCCTACAGTTTGCAATAAACAATAATCAATTTAATTTTCCATGCAAGTACCTACCCTATTGATGCAGACTTGGCGGCAGAACAGATCTGCGCGCCTGTAGCCTAAACGGCTACCACAGTTAGTGCGGCACTTGCATGATATTTGCTGCATCAGTTTGTCAGGAGCCGGGGGTTTAAGGGTGGTAAGTGGGATCAGGACATTTTTGGTTGATAAGCAACCCCACAGTTTCGGATACAAAATGTTGCCGAGCCACTGTTGCACTTGCAAATATACATGCAAACTATGCTGGTAAGCTGCAGATCGGTGGGAGAGCAGATCTATATATCTTCTCCAACGATCGCAACAGTTTGATTAGTCGAAGCCTATAATTCAGCCGTCCGCACAATTAATGTATCTGCATCCTCGTTTGCTTGTCGGCAGGCGATTCCAGCTTTTTCACACTTTGCCATCAGCTGTGCTGATTAAGCGACTTTTGATTTTGGAATTGGACAGACATTTTTCTTGAGACACCGACGGTATCATTGTGTGTGGCTGAATTGTATTTGTATTTCCACTCAGCGTTTCTTAATTGCTGTCTTGAACCTCTCCATAGATTTTGTGAGTATCCATGAAAAATGATCACTGCTTTTGGACTGTATTTTTAAAAATCTCCATCGATCGCATATGCTGTATTGCTGGCCAATGGTGTTGTGTCTTGGAGAGGTTCGAAGGATTTGTATAAATCAGATTTTGTTCCTTTTCGCAGGCAACTCTTATCAAACAGTGCTGGGGGATATGGAACCAACTCCTATGTTAAGAGCTCCTCCAGTTCTTCGCGAGGTTGTTTGGCAATAAGCATTCTTTGAAACTGAGTGTTCGGCTTCACAACCACGGGCTGGTCATCAATGATGATAGCTGAGTTGACAGTTGCAAACGGCTGTACTCGGTCGTTCCTTTTAAACTTTACTGTTTTAAATCTTTACCCACAATTCGATTGATGCAATCAATTCCCACCTTCCTGGCGAAGTGACAATTTATTTTTCTATTTCCGACAATCCCAGTGCTGATTGACATAATTTCTTGACTGTCTGGAAAATGTGAATGTTGCTGAACCCACAACTTTGCAGTGGGCCCTAGATTGGCTAGATGTTGGAGATGGGCTTTGAACAATTGCTTAATTTCCTTCCCCCATCCTTCTTCGTGTGCATTAAGCAGGTCACTTAAATCTACACCATACAAAACCTGTTCAACGTCAAAGTGAAACGAGGGGGGGGGAATTCATGGAATCCATTATCACCTTACCCAGGGCTGTAAGAGTGTTTCGTCTGACAGCTCTGGCGTAAGCGTGTCCTGACATGATCTTCTCAGTACTGTTAACTACATATACAGTATTGAACAGTTCAGTTAGACCACTCCCTTCCATTATATAGCCTACTGCTGTCCCCATAAATGACATAAGTAAGTGGAACCCTCCAAGTCTTACAACCATGCCACATAACTGAGGGTCTCCCTCACGACTTGCAACGATATCTCACGCCTTGAGATATAGGGCCTGATCAAACGTGACAATCGTTGTTTTTTTGTCCAGGACAGCATTACTGTGTATTCTGGACCGCGGTTAACAGTGTATATAGTGTCGAAATCACTTGGAGATGCATTAATGAAAGGCTGTTTCGTAGGGTATGTCTCTGGTCACCTCTGCCATGAAACCATTTCATCCGTCTCTGGATTTACTGTAAAGCCACACCAACACTGACAGTGATGAAACCATTGTATAATTGTGAGGGAACGCTGTTCTTAAATTATTTATCTGAATTTTGGCTAAGCCTAATAGAGCATCATTTCTCTCAAAGTGTTGAAGTGTCACAGTTCCCAAGCTCACAACAACTTCTGCTGGTGGTACATTCTTCAAGCTTTCAATATTTTGGCCAGGAGCAACAGCATTTTTTGGGGTGATGCATCGAATGCTACCCATCGTATCGTATGAAAAGTATTCCTTCCATCAAGCGTTTGGATGTTCAAATCAGCATTATCGTACACCATTTGGCAAAAGGCTTGTTGCTTCATAGCCAGAGGGGGGCGCATTATTGACGATACTTCAAATCTAGTTACTTCATTGTATGTTGCACAAAATCCGAGGGATGACAGGACATCAATCAGTTTTCGCGAGCCGTATTTTTTGTATATAAAGGCCGCCTTGAAGAGAAGAGAGAAAAGATATTGGTCGCACTGTACTAATCAAGGTATGTGCAATTGCTACCGATTTTTTTCTTCCATGCCTCAAGATTCCCTCGCTTCTTATTTATAGCAGCACAGTCTTGATAAACACTCGAAGTGTCTCAGGAATAACATCATCGACCCCATCGAAAAATTTATCGGTGGGGGTATATTCATTCACGTCATTTACTTGAGATCTGATATCTTCAACAACTATGGCATCGGCTGTTTCGACTATGCGGCGCCTTCCCGCTTTTTTCTGTCCATTTCTCTACCTCTCGAAACCAGTTGTCAGTTAATATTTTCGGTCTAGTGGCTTTGAAACAAACAACATACGGTGGTCTTGATGTGACAACAATATCGTCGCCAGACGTTTGAAGAAGGTGCCTCCTAACAGTGGATGAGTGAGGGCTGATCCATCAGTTCCTCTATAGTGAATTGACATTCTTCATCACTCTTTTTTAGGTAAGAAATAATTGATTGCAAAGATTTATCCCTGATGCCTCGTTTGCCTGTTTGGGTATGGTGTAGCGCTCTCATGCAGCGGAAATGGTACTCCGCCATCTGCTGCACATAAATCGTGAACTTGCTCAAGACGAAGTAATACATTTTTTCCATATTTGTCATTTCGACTTTCCGTTAGTTTCATCATTTTTTCTCTCGTGGACAATGTTCTCACAGGATAGACCATATTGCGTTTTGCGGGAGTATTTTTCATTTCCTTCTTATTGTAGTCTAGGGGCACTTAATTTCCACACAGAAAACGATTACTTTTAAAAAGAAAGCCCCGTTCTTTTGAACGCGTTTGCTTGGGAATATTTTGAGCAGCTCTATTCAAATAGGCAGCAATAGATTTTTCTGTTACAGAATTCTTCCTACATTCTACATGGACTTCAATTGAACTTTCTCTCTTAAATACTCCGACTTTCTCATCCTTTCTCTTGTTACTAGCTTCTATAAAGGACTGCAACCCCCTTTCCTTCACAGCACAGGTCTCTGTCCCATCTTGTAACAGTTCGTCACATAAAACACACTCCGGCCGCGATATTATGTTGGATGATAAGAACATCGGCAACTATAACTATACCTACTTATGAAAACTATTCTACCTATTTATCTAAACAGTTTTTCCAATGTCTTTTTACTTTGGCTAGTCATATTAGGATTCACTTTATTATCTTCTTCAAATACAAAAATATGCTGGAAAATTCTACTGAAGGCTCCCTCCAAAACCAGAACATACTTGTCTATCTATAATCTCTAACAGCTTCTTCAAATACAAGAATATATTTGGTATCAAAAGATGAGAGTCCGTTTCCAAAATAACTTTATTGGTTGCTATTACCACGATTTGAACAAATAGATGTTCAATGCTAGTTGACAGATCACCATCTTTGGAATACGCACTTGTAGATATTTCAGTTTGTTATAGAATTCCTGGGACAAAGATATTCCAGTTGAAACAATGATGTGGTATACGCAGGATGACACAGATTGAGAGTGGTGCTCAAGCCATGAAAATTTTGATTGATACTTGTAATTTTATGAACTGTTAAGTAACTATTATATGAATACTTTCCTCTCTCTACGATCATCAGAAGAAAATTTTAAAAACTTAACCCACACAAAATATATAGGACTTGTCACGCTTAATACCATCACATTATCTCCTATTTACTTGACTTATCCCCCTCGAAGCCATTATCAATCTGCAAACATTTACAAATTACATAAGGTTTTTCTCTGGCAGCCTAAGGTCGGTAGTGTCAAATGGATAATATAAACTGACAGCAGAAATATAAGCGTAAGTCGATTTTATTATCAATAATAGTTTACTTTGTATATAAGCTCTATTGCGATAGTTGCTAAATGTCAATAAAGTATGCCGTTTCGAACAATATATATAGAGTGAATTCTAACTTTACGATGTAAGTAAGTACTCTGTATACACTATTTTTATTTTTATGTTTTATATTTGAACCACTCTGTATTAAACAATTAAATTTTTATGGCAGGATGACCTCTCGAATGAGTAAGGTCGAACGCGTTATCAAGTAGCAAGTAAAGCCGCAGCAGGGATACTTTTCTTTGGGTTTTGGACGTGACTTGTAATAATTTTCAATAAAAAAAATACTTGTGGTTATGATGTAATAGAATTGTTTTTGTGATATTTGTTTCAGTTGATCGGTGTACTTCGTTGTGTGAGTATTTTCGATTGTAATAATAGTTATTAAGCAACGTCACAAGTTTATATTTTGTTATCTGGCATTAACACTACAAATAAGTGGATGTTTTGGGCTTTTTTGAGCAGTACTAAGTGAGATTATTTCCATTTTCACTTTTCAGTTAGTTATCCATACACCACAAGCAAATCATTACAGGAATTATGGATAACTATACATCGGACAGCAGCGACGGAGAGTCTTGCAATAGAATCATTGACCTGGCATACTTGTTAAGGAATCCAGAATCGGTAGACAAAACACTGAGTGAATATTTTGAAAACGACTCGAAAAAATTCCAAGACATCGAGAGAATCATTTTGCATCACAACGAATTGAATATCGTTCCGCATAATTTATGCAGGTAAGAATTTTTTTTTTTGTAACTTTAAGAAAACCACAACAATCAAACAAATTTCAGATTTATAAACATGAAAGTTTTGGACCTCAGCAACAACGGACTGACTTCCTTCCCTGACATTTTCCGTTACTGCCAATTGACGAATTTGATACTGAAAAACAACAGGCTCAGAAACGAAACGTTGTCGAAAGATTTCACAGAATGCTATACGCTCAGAGAACTAAATTTGGGCGGTAACGATATCGTTCAATTTCCGGAACAAATTTTCAGTTTCCCCAATTTGAAGTTCCTGTATCTGGGCGGCAATGCCATCAAGAACATTTCTAAAGACGTGTGGAAACTCAAACAGTGAGTCTAATGTTAATTAATTTGTGCCTATATAAGAATTGTTGTTTTAGATTGCAAGTTTTTTCACTAGGAGGCAATCAAATCACCGAAGTTCCTGTAACGGTAGGACTGTTGAAAAACTTACAGGCCTTAGTACTGTGCGATAACGAAATAGAAATTCTACCGGCAAATATTGCTAACTTACACAATCTAAGGTCTTTGTTGCTGCACAAAAACCGCTTGAGGACTTTACCGCCTGAGATTATTGCACTGAAGAACCTTTCAGAGGTAATTATCATCATCATCATTCAAGCTTGGTTCGTCCACTGCTGGACATAGAGGCCTCCTCGAGATGTTTCAATTTTTTCATGTTCTGCGCGGTTGTTATCCAGTTGACGTTCGACCTCGGGTCCGTTTGTCTACTCTTGGTCGCCATTCCAGAATATTCTTGGTCCACCTACCATCGTTTAATCTTGCAATAGGCCCTGCCCCATCTCCATTTTGCAGTTGTTATGCACTCCAGAACATCATCAACTCCTGTTTTCTTACGAATGCCGTCATTTCGTATTCTCGGAGACTCCAGCGTTCCATTTTACGTTGCGTTCTTCGTAGCTTGCATGCCGATGTTGGTCAGGGTTAGGGTCTCGGCACGTAAGTGCGAGCACCAGGGAGGACGCACGCATGAAAACTTTTCGTTTTAGTGTAATTGGGACATCATTTTTGAAGACATCTCAAAGTCTGCCATATGCTACCCATCCCAATGTTATTCTCCTCAGTGATTCTGCAGTTTGGTTATCTCTACCAATCCTCACTTCGTGACCCAGATATATAGCTTTGTACATATGTATCTCGTTGTTATCGACCTTCATATAAGCTTGTTGGGGACTAAATTAGTCATCATTTTTGTTTTTTCAAAATTGATCTTCAGACCTACTATTTGTGTAGCGGTGGCGTCTGTTAGTTCTTTTATTGGACCATAACATCAACCCCTCGTAAGTTTTCGGAAATGAGTACAATATCGTCCGCGAATCTAAAGTGGCTACGTCTTTCCCAAACAATGTAAATACGCTCTGTTCTCCCACTCTGAGCTCTAAGTTTTTAAAAGCATGTTCTAGGACTGTGATGAATAGTTTGGGCGACTGGTGTCACCTGGCGTTTTTGTGTATATTATTTACAATATCTGAGTATCGATAATCGATTCGGCATTCTTTCAATGCTTTCATTCGACCATATCGAATGCTTTATGCAAATCGACAAAGATCAGAACAAGAGGCCTGTTCTATTCGACAGATTTATTAATGAGGGTTTTTAAACATTGGAGGTGATCGTTGGTACCGTAGCGAGCTCGGTAGCCAGCCTGTTTTTTTGGTTGGTAGAGCACGAATTTTGATTCTAGCCTGTTTCTTCAAATCTTGGTATATAGCTTGTATGTGTGGTTAAGCAAGCTAATTGGTCTGTAATTTTCCAGGTTTGGTTTATGTCCTTTTGTATGGAGCGATATAGTAGGTTGGGATATTCAGGTTGCACAGGCATAAATTGAAGACTTCCAAGTTCTATTTATCAAAATTTGCCCTCCGAGTTTATGGGCGGCTCTGTTACTACTCCGTCTTTTCTAGGAGCCCTGTTATTTTAAATTTTATGGAGTGCGTGATGTAATTCTTTCTGAGAAATGTCGTGTATGTCTTCGGAGCCTTGGCTTTGTACCTTTTGCAATGGTTTTTTACTTTTTCTCCTGCTTGGTTTGTCTGAGATCTATATAATATTGTATACAACTTTTCTACAATGCGTAATAGTTTATCCCTACATCCGTTACTACATTACGTACTGTTTTTGTCTTTGAGCTGGAATATTTCTCGTTGCACATTTATGATTGTTCCTCTCATAATTTTCATAATTTTATTTTCTTCAATGGTTCGCACTAATTGTTAATTTTTGTATTTTCTCATGTCTTTCCTGATGGCTTTTGATATTTCCCTATATTGTTTGTTCTTATCTCGTGTGGTTCCGTGTTTGGGTGATTTATTTTTTGTCTGCGTTCTTCCATTTTTATTTCATTTTCTTGGCTAATTTTCTGTTTTTTTCCATTCTTGGACAGAAGCTGTTTTGTGCCTGTTAAATAGTGTCTATACTATTCTTATTTAGGTCGTTTATGTCCGTTGGTGCTGGTTTGTACTGTTGTGTTTTTCAGTGTATTGTCGAAATATTTCTTCGATCGTTTGTTAGATGTGTCCACGGTTTAGTCTTCTTATTCATCATTTTGTGTCTTTCTAAATCAGTAGATATGTCTAACTAATCTGTGGTCGCTTGACGTAGTAAATCTGTTTAAAACCGTGACCTCTTCAAATAAATATTGTTTGTTGGTGATGAAGTAATCTATTCCGTTTTGGGTTTTTCCATCAGGACTTTTCCAGGTCCATCTTCTATTGGCCTTTTTTTTAAACAAGCTATTTATCTGGTATAAGTTGTTTTCAAGTGCTTTCGAAGCTTCCAAGGGCTATTTCTGAGGATCAATTTTTACTCCGATTTTAGCATTGGACTCTCCGCATATTATGCTGAAGTGTGCAGGGTTCTTTTTGATGGCGTTTATAGTAGGTCTTCATGGAATATATCTATTTCTTCATCACGATGTGTCGATGTTGGTGTACATAAGCCATAAGCCTGAATGAATTATACGAGGAGTTAACCACTATACTTACAAATGTACAATGATTTCCCTACTTGGCAATCAATGAATCCCATGTATTCAGATATTTTTGTATGACTACTAGGAGATTTACATTTTTTTCTGGGAATTCCTATATCATTACCAATTGATTATCTGATTTCCTCGGTGATTTCCTACAATCATCCGATTTCCAGCTGATTTTATTACGAAAACGATGTCTAATTGTTAAGCATCGCATTGATATGACCAAAATAAACAGTCTTTTCTCTATAAAAACACGTTTCCACTGAAAAATTGGCAATTTCTGTATTTGCAACTCTTCCAAAAGTTAGCAATTTTCATTTTCATGGTTGTCCACACCTCAGACACCGACTTTGTTGTAAGTATAAATAGTTGTTGACCTCTAGATACCATTTGCGTGTATGCACTGCATAATATGGATTTAAAATAATGGATATTTCTTTGATTTCACTAGGATGTTCATCTGAATCAGAGACATCTTCAGTTAGGGTTTCACTCGACAAACTTATTTCCGATTCTGATTCAGATGTGCTATCGTCTCTGCTTCCCGCACTGCCCAGTAAGTATTTATTCTACTTCCCCCTTTCCTTTTCAAGTTCTTATTGCCTTGGATTCTCGACTTTTTCTTCTGTGTCTTCCTCGGGGACATTCCCATTGCTCTTAATACTCGATCGACAAACGTCCCTGCTTCTCTGAAAACAACCAAAAAGTTGAGCCCTGAATAATCTCTAAATTGTAGCGAATCGCAATTGCTAAACCCTGTATGGTGTGAAGAAATTCTGTGTCTTCTTTTGGCAAGTCGGGTTCGAAAGATGTTTCAAGATTCATGTTTTTATTTTTATTCTCTACAACATTGTCATACAGGTCTGTTCTCACAGAAATCAAAAACCAGGCAGAGTGAATTTCATTGGTTGAAAATAGTCAGAAAATTGGTTGTTGGCGATTTTCAACAATCAAAAACGCTCTGACTGGTTTGTGATTCCTGTGAGAACTGAGAACAGACCTAATCTTCATCTCGTTCTTCTTCTTTTTCAAGTTCTAAACTTTTCGTAGTTGTTCAGTTATTGGCTCAGATATTAGGAAACTTCTTGGGATATCAAATTCATTTCAAATTGTCTAGCACTTGTTGCCTAAAACCAAAACTTAGTCTTAAAGGCAAATACACAAATGACCGGTACGCTGTTTCGTTTAAAATGTTTGATATGCGATTGCTGGTTTAGAATGAGGGGATATTCCCAGCGATTACCACATGATTCTCAGCGATTGCCAATCTATGATTATTCCCATGGAGTCCTAGGAGATTCCCAGCGATTCCTAGGTTATTCCCAGGGACTCCCAAGTGATTTCCATGTATTCCTGATTGATTTCTATATAATTCTCAAAAAAATTTACAATAATTTCCACTAGTGGTTTACCCCTTGGGATGAGATTTACACAACTTGTTCACAAAGTGTTTTCCCGAGGTATTTCCATTTATTCTTGATAGTTTGACGAATCTAAATCAAAATGGACTCCTAAAGGAAAAAACGCTCGATGGAAAAAACATCAGCATAAGACTTTAATAAGAGCATTAATTCCACTATAGCAAATGAACTTGTAGAATGTAGACTGTGTGTTTTCCTTCGATTAATTATGGTACAAATATTAATTATTGTTAAATTTCAGTTAAGTTTAAGAGACAATCCATTGGTAGTACGTTTCGTAAGTGACATCACCCATCAGGCTGCAAGTCTTCTGGAGCTTTCAGCTAGAGCATTAAAAATGTATAACATCAACGTACAACCCGGTGATATTCCTCAGACGCTTCTCCATTACTTGGAATCAGCTCACACTTGCCTCAATCCTCATTGCGAAGGTAATTTGATTTGGAGAAGCTCTATTTTGTCCGTCATAACTATTGTTTTTAGGTGTTTACTTCGACAATCGTGTGGAGCACATAAAGTTTGTCGATTTTTGCGGTAAATATCGAATACCTTTGTTGCAATATTTGTGCTCGCCTAAATGCGCCAGTACTTCGACTGAGGAAATCGTCAGACCGCACAGAAGCTACCTGATGAAGAAAGTACTATTGGGTTAAAATAATTTATTATTATAATTATATTTTTCTTATGATATTATATTTGCAAATGTGATATTTATGTAGGTAAATTGTTAATAGATAATTTGTGAGTATAATGAAGAGGATTATTTCTGAAACTTATTGTTACTTACACGATACTGTCATTACTTGTTGCTTTTTCCAACAATTTTTCTCTGCAAATCAATTTTTAATCTTCACATCACATCTAGTTTGGCGCCCTTTATTAGTCGGTAAAGAAGAAAACTGTCCTATATGTTAAAATATCGAATAATGCTTCTCTCTCATTCGAAACAAGTTAGAAAAGGATAGGAAATTAGAAAGCAGAGAATCAATAGAACCTAACCTCATTTTTTGGCTTCTTAACGTGTCAAAATTATTGTTTTTTTCATTCTCTTTTCAACCATGTCCGAGTAAAGTAAAGTGTTTCTAGTATTTTTTCGCCAAGTGCAAGCCTCTAGGCGCGATGGAGTTCTAGTAGTTTAAAGTTTAGCACACGCAAGTGTGCCCCACAACCATAGTAAATATGCAGTAAGTATTTAGTTTGCTTGAATTCGTGTAAAATCTGGAAGCATATTAGACCAATTGCGTCACTACAAACTCAATAAATCTAGTCTAGACAATAATAATTAAATTTTTTATCTGGGATATAATCTGTGTTCCTTATTAAATCCTTGAGCGAAGCCAATTTCTAGTAATAAGTGTGTAAAATTGTAGTAAACAGAATTATCTTTAAAACGAAGTTTGGCTTTTAAAAATACATGTCAATAATCATAATCACACGACTCTCATAAGACAAAGTGCATATTTTTGTTTAGTTTCAATATATTGGAAACGATTGAATGAACAGAGCTTTTTATTTTCCTTCTCAAAATTCAAAAAAAAAAAGACAGAATTCATTGTAAAGATTCACCAGACCAACAATATTGAATACCTATGAAAGTTATTTGGGTCAATATACTGTTGTGGCAACTATACCAGTTTCCCTACCATTTAATCCCTGTTTACAAAAACATTGTGAAAGTAGATTGTAATCTGTTTTGAATGTTTCACCTACCTACTTTGCTGATTGATACCTTATGTAGATATCAGTCTTATATGTATTTATCAGCCAGCCATTCTACTTGTGGAATTTATTGCAAATTGCAAGTAAATACAACGAACTAAAAATCACAAAAAATTTCTTATAAGAGAACAACTTGAAAGTTATTTTATTCACTTTGTTGAAGCGAAGCTACTCCAAGTCACTATTTAATACTCGATTTAATAATAATAATATTAATAATAATTTTTATTCAGTATAGAGATTAAAATTTAAAAAAAAAAGTTTCAGGTTCAGGTTGCTGGCGGTATTTAGTATTGTTTTTTTGTTTAATCCAACTACTAAATTAGGTAGGTATAACCTCGGGTATAACTTGAAGAAGTGCCAGAACATAAATGTGAATACCTACTATCTATGTATGATGGAATTTAAAAAAAAAATCAAATCAGTCCTTGAATCAGTCCCTTCTTTCCAAAATGTATTCCTTAATTGCCTTCCCAAAAGAAGCTAGATTTGGGGCTCCTTACATGGCATTTATATTATGGTTTGGTGATTTTGTTTTGTGTACATAAAAGAATGTCGAAAAACTGGAAAGCTTTGCCTTGGGACGCAGAACAGCCCCTGATGATGAACCTGTGGCTGTGGTTAACTTTTCAAGTTTTATTTTTTTACTCGTTTTTTTAAGTCTATATCAAGGTCTATATAAAATAGGCCTGAGCTACAATGTTCAGTTTCTTCTGGTGATATTTTTATTATAATGTATACATGTATCTCGACATATATTTTATTTGATTTTACTATGATTAGGTAGGTAGGTATAAAATGTATAATGCTATGGTTAATATGCAAACTTGAGTTTGTAAACTAGCTGAATAATTTATAAACTAACCAACCCACTGGCTATTTTGATAGAAAACACAATTTTCACTAAAATGGCAGCTAGTTTGCAAACTAATCAAGAGTCTTGGCTAATTTACTTGAAATTATTGAGAAAACTAAAATACCTGGTTAGTTTATAAACTATCCAATGCAGTTTGGCTAATATGAAAACCATATTTTCTAGTAACACAAAATAGCCAAACCTTTAGCTAGTTTATAAACTAGCCAACCAATTTTCTGGCTAACTTACAAACAAAGTTAGGTTAAAAAATTTAAGGCTTCTTTAATAGATCTGTATAATGATAGAGCAAATAATTCACAACTTTACAACGAAGGAAATCTGGCGAAATATTAGCTCCTATGGACGATTTGTTTGATATTATTAAAGAATCTCACCAATCAACTGGGCACTGCGAAAGGCAAGTTACAACAAAGCTAATAAATCAAAAATATTCAAATATTACCCAAGAAATCGTTTGTTCATTGATAGATGTGAGAATTGCCAAGTAAAAAAGAAAAAAGCAAAATTTTTCATTTTATTCATCTCTAATTTATCGAATAAGAAATGCCATGAACATTAAACTTTCTTTGTAAAGTAGCCAGAAAATTGGTTGGTTAGTTTACAAACTAGCTAAAGGTTTGGCTATTTTGTGTTACTAGAAATCATGGTTTTCAAATTAGCCAGGCTGTATTGGATGGTTTATAAACTAACCAGCTAATTCAGTTTTCTCAATAATTTCAAGTAAATTAGCCAAGACTTTTGGTTAGTTTGCAAACTAGCTGCTATTTTAGCCAAGGGGTTGGTTAGTTTGTAAACTATCCAGCTAGTTTAAAAACTAGCCAAGTTTGCATATTAACCGTAACACTGGTCATAACATATATACTTTTTTTTTTTTTTTTCATTATGTATTTTAGAAATTTTAATTCTACACTTTATTTTTTCCCAAGATAGATTTTGACATTGAAAACTTTGAAACATAAACAATAACGCTTGACTCTGATTGGTTGCAAAATGAGGTGTTTCTGCAGGTTGACATCAGTTTTACAATAGCGACCAATAAGCGGCATTGTTTATGCTTCAAAGTTGACAATGCCAAAATCTATTTTGGAAAAAAATAAACCATAGGTACCTATATTGTGATTCCTTTACATTATAGGTATATGTAGGTCGAGGGGTCAACCACCCAAAGGAAAAGCGTCCAGGGATTTGGGAATACTTTGGTGAATTTTCAAGTATTCCCAGTATTCTTAAGTATTCCTAGATATTTCCAAATTATTCCCAGTACCTACTTCTCAGTTAGTTTTAAGTATTGCCCTGTATTCCTAGTTATTTCCACCCTATTATTTTTAGGGCTTTGTCAATGAGAACTTCATGTAGGTACTTTGGACAATAAAGCTTTTTTGAATTCCCAAGTATTCCTAAGTATTTTTATTGTATTCCGATGTTGTTTTTATTAAAATAATTTCCTATGTTTTAAGAGATATTTTTATTACAGCATGTGATATAGGATTTTGAGAAATAGCTAAGTCAGAACAGAAAATAGTACTTAAAATGTTTGCTAGTGTACATTTGAAAGCCTTTTTCATATCAGTTTTAATCAACAAGGAAATATTTGCCTTGAAGTCATACCTGTATCACTACACCTTTTCCATAAGTATTTCAGCGAGTATTTCAGGCTGTCTCACTTGTATTTAAGATTCATCAATTCTAGTTCAGAAGACGTCAATTGTATTCCAGTTGTGTAACTTTAATTTCAGAAAGTGTTACTTAATTGGTGTTTCAACTTTGTCAGTTCTAGTTCAGAAAAGGAATTTGTGTTTCAGTTTGGTCAGCCGTATTTCAGGAAAAGTCATTTGTATTTCAGTTTGGTTACTTGCAAGGTTGTTTGAGAGAGGTAGGTTGACTGATAATTGTATGACGTCATCCGGGGTGCCTCATCATAATGCAAATCTCCATAAGGCACCCCAGATGCGTCATCAAGTTACCCATTACCAGGCAACCTATTAACTTTAGGAACCTTGGGTAACTTGTACTTCAGAAAACGTCATTTTTGTTTCAGATTGTTTATTTTGTAGATCAGAAATTGCAAATTGTATTTCAGAATTCGTCAAATGTATTTCAGATTCACTTAGCTTGCATGTTAATTTGGGAAAATCTGCATAAGTATTGGCACTTGGCGTTCAAATTTCCATGCACATCACATTACATAGGATTTCTTATACCCTAATAAAATGATAATCTATTATTATCTGGAATACAACTAATGATTTCTGAACTACATCCTGACAAATTCTAAAATTTAATTCAAGTTTTCTGAAATACAATCAACTAATTTAAAATACAGGGTGTCCCAGCCGAGAGTGACACATTTTAAATGCTTATAACTTTTAAACCAGGTGAGCTAGCTACCTGCGGTTTGTGCCATTCGATTTCTCTTGGTCTAATGTTTTTTTCTAGTAGGTTTCAAATTTTTTTGAAACTTATACAGGGCGAGTAAAAAAAAAATCCGTTTTTCAACACCGAAATTCTCCACTATTTTCAATGGAACGCCCTGTATATCGCAACGTCAAAAAAAAGATTCATGTTTAAGGTATCCATGTACCAATAGACATCGTCCCTAAAACTTGAAGTTTTAGCCGTAAAAAATCAAATTCGAAATCTTGGTATTTTTGCAAACACCTATTTTCAAAGCTTCCACCTTATGTTTGCCTAATAAAAAGTTAATAACAACTGCATAAAACTATACAAAAAGCTGTAGGTACCTATATGTATATGTTAACCATTCTGTTCCAGGCATTTGTGGATCAATAAATGGTTGAATGAATTGTGTAACATTTCCTGGAGAATCGCTTCAATGACATTACAAATGTTCCACTTAAGATCTTTCGGGCTATTTTAGAAAAGTATTGCCGCATCTTTCCTTGACATAACGCCAGAGAAAAGAGTCTAGAACACTCAAGTCAAGAGAGTAAGGTGTCCATTTTATAGGCCAGCGGCCAGCTCTCCTTATCCGTCTTTCCCCAAATGTTATATCTAGTGATTCCCTTGCTATTAATGAATAATGAGGTGGGGGCATCATCCTGCTGAAAATAGTGTCATTCAAGATAACCTCCTGTCTCAACTATGGGAAAAAGAACATATCAGTGTATACAGTTTCTGTTATTGTTGGTTCATCAATAAAAATGGTCTGTATTTTTTCTCAATAGAGATTGCACACCAAACTGTTACTGTTGGGGTATCTCTATTTAATGAGTTCCAGAGAAAATACTTTGGAACTCATTAAATAGAGATACCCCAACGGTAAGTTTTAGGAACGATGTCTATTGGTACATGGAAACCTTAAACATTAATCTTTTTTTTGACGTTGTGATATACAGGGTGTTCCATTAGAAATAGTGGAGAATTTCGATGTTGAAAAACGGATTTTTTTTACTCGCCCTGTATAAGTTTCAAAAAAATTTCAAACCTACTGGAAAAAACTTTAGACCAAGAGAAATCGAATGGCACAAACCGCTGGTAGCTAGCTCACCTGGTTTAAAAGTTATAAGCATTTAAAATGGGTCACTCTGGTCTGGGGCACCCTGTATAATTGACGCTTTCCAAAATAAA